ATTATTAATAGTATCAATTAGTGTAATGTTTTTTCATTTTTTCATTATAAATTAATTAGTGTCAATTAATTGCTTAAGTAGCATCAATTAATACTAAAATTATTAATAGTATCAATTAGTGTAATGTTTTTTCATTTTTTCATTATAAATTAATTAGTGTCAATTAATTGCTTAAGTAGCATCAATTAATACTAAAATTATTAATAGTACCAATTAGTATAAAAAAATTTCATTATAAAATAATTGGTGTCAAGTAATGGGCTAGTATCAATTAACACTAAAATTATTAATAGTACCAATTAGTATTTTTTTTTTTCATTTTTTCATTATAAATTAATTAGTGTCAATTAATTGCTTAAGTAGCATCAATTAATACTAAAATTATTAATTAGTATCAATGCTTAATTAATGGCTAAAATGGCTAAATTATTATTGATGGCTAAATTATAAAATGCTTAATTATTATTATTATTATTTTTTTTAAAAAACACAGAAAACCTCAAAAAAAAAATTGAAATTCATCGCCGGAGAGAAAGAGAGAGAATGAACCAGTCGATAGTTAGGGTTTCGATCGTGATCATTACGTAGTTAACGGTTAGGGTTTCGATCGTGAAGCTAGGGTTTCGCTCATCAACGCGATGGTGGTGGTGAAGAAAGAGCGAAGAGAGAGGAAGAAAAGAGGGCTCTGGTTCGTTAGAGAGAGAGAGAGAGAGAATGAACCAGAGCTCGTCGAAAACCACCTTGCCTCTCTCTCTCTCTCTCTCTCTCTTGCAAAGAAATGAACAGTGAATATTTTTGTACTTTATATAATGGCAATTTGGTAATACTTCAAATGAATAAAGGGCATTTAAGTAATTTTGCCCCTTAAGTTTTAGTTTCTCGCTTAAGCTGAATGAATAAGCACCCTAGAAGCCACTCAACCAAAAATCACTTATTTGGCTTAATTTAAGCTACATAATGTGATTTTAAGCTCTACCAAACACACCACTTGTAACTTAAATTAAGCTAAAAGCTGAAATAAACAGCTTTTAAGCTGCACCAAATAGGCCTAGTATCTAATTCTCTCTCTCTACTTGTGTTTGTTGCTTGATTTGCAAGTGATTTTATTTTCTTTATTCCTTCATTTACTACTATGGAAGATGATAAAAAAGGAAAGAAAATTTGACGACCCATGAAGCGAATTGAAAACAAGAAAGCTCTAAGAGTTACTTACATGAAGAGAAAGGACAGTGTTATCAAAAGGACAATGGAGCTCTCGATTCTCTGCGGTATCAATATCGTCACACTCTGTTTTCGGCCCCAATGGAGAGGTCAACACGTGGCCCCAAAACCCAAATGAAGTGAAAGCTCTGATCAAGATGTACAAAGAGTCTGCCAAGAAAAGCCTGGCTAAGAAATCTCGTGAATCTTCTTTTTCTGATTGTTGTTTGGGTGCTGAGAAAGTTGCCAAGAAAGTTTTGATGGGAAATAAGGATGGTTATGGTTTGCTTGATGGGTTATCGGTAGAGTCGGTGATAAGTTTCTTGGAAAAGTTGGAGTCAAAATTGGAGGTTTTGAAAGCAAGAATTGAGTTCTTGAAGATGCTGAATGAGCAGAAAAACAGAGTATTGGTAATGGGGAAAGAAACATAGGAAACTTGTTGGTTTGATGATTCGAATGCGATCGACAATTTGCAGAAAAACAGATGAGTAATCATGATGGGGAAAGAAACAGAGGAAGCTTGTTGGTTTGATAATACGAGTGCGATAGACAATTTTAAGGAGGACTATCTTGCAATGCTACTTGAACCTTCTTACCAGTCACAGCCACAACAACAAACAACTCAATTGGATTTTGAGACGGACAATTTTCCAATTTTAATTGAGCCTTGTTACCAGCCACAACCACAACAACAAATTTGTAGTACTTGTACCCTTTTAAAACTTTTGGGAAGTGTATTCGAATCCTTTGTTTTGTTTTGGGAATCTTTGGTGTTGTTGTATCTTGGTTTTGGAGGAGTACAAATTAATTTAAAATTCTTGGGATTGTTCGTTCACGCTTATTTAAGTTGAAAAGTTGTTTGAGAACTTAGAAATTCTATTTTAGGGTCGACACCAGCCTTCCTAAGGGTCGACCCTTACCTGTTGGTGAAGTTTCCGGAAGTGTTGCTGGAAAATAGGGTCGACCCCCTCCTGTCTAAGGGTCAACCCTCTTACATGCTATCAAACATAAGTTTCTTTATAGGGTCGACCCCTGTGTTGCAAGGGTCGACCCCTGCAGACTTTTTTCCAGATTTCAGTCTGGTTTTTGGCCTTACTTTTTGGGGATTTTGACTTGATCTTTTGGGTTGACTTTGGGACTTCATTTTACTTTGACCTAGCACTATACATAGGTCCCTCACTTAACATTTTCTTTACTTTTTCTTCTCTTTTTCCCTCTCCAAGCCATGAGTCACTCTCTCTGTGATAACCCTGGTCCGTATTATGCTAATTAATCTTAATTAAGATTGTGATTATGTGTTTGATGTGATTTTGAGTGCCATTTATACGACTATATGTGATTTTAAATTTCTATCTGTTCACCGTAGGAAAATCTATTTGATTATCTACTTTAGAATTTAAATTAGAGGCCTTATTGGCCATAGAAATTGAAATTGATCGCGTCATTGTGATTAGCATAATTTTTAGAACCTATGGTAAAATTTAATTGAAAACTGATTCAGAATGAGGTAATTAGTTTAAACTGATTGAATTAAGCACCATTAATTGATCCTAATCAAAGTTGATTAAAGAAGCCTATATAAGGGGTCCATCTACTCTTATTTCATTTTGTTTTGAGCTCGAATTGAAGTCACACTCTAGAGAGAGAGAGAGAGAGAGAGAGAGAGAGAGAGAGGGAGGGGGGGCCAGCTCTAAAGAGAGGAAGAGGGAGAATTGTGTATCTTAGCTCAAGTTTGGGAATTTGGAAGCTTAACTTCAAGAATTAACTACAATTTGGGAAGATTAAGCTTCTAGGTGAGTAATTGGTTATGAATTCATAAGTTTGAATTGGTAATTTTGTATAATTCAAGCTAGTTGGGTAATCAAGAACATAAATTGAGATGTATTTGTTGAATTGGAAGCTTGTATGTACATGCATGCATAGAATTGCTATGAGATTAAATGTTTAAGTCTAAGTTCATGAGTATAAGTTTGTTATTTTGTGAACTCTAGCTTGTTATGTGATCGAGAACAAGAATTGAGTTGTGATTAATAAATTTGAAGTCAATAATTGCATGCATGAAAAGAATTGCCATGAATTTGTATGATTGAGCTTGAAATATATAATCCATGTAGAATCTTGATGACAATTCATGCCCTTGATCATCATTTACATCATTTGAGTTGAAAATGGAAGTTAGATTTCATATGCAAATATAATCCATAGAAGAATGAATTTGGGTGCATGAATTTGTTGTGTTGGAAATAAGTTTGGTGTAATTTGGGGCATGCATATGATTAATTCATGGGATTTGAGCTTATGATGTAGTAAATTTGGTGTTTATAGCATGTTAGTAAATGTATATGTGAGCCTTGAACCATGAGATGCAAGTTACATTGGATTGAATGCATGTTTGAAGCTCAAAAACAATTCTGGAAAACCCAGAATCCGGCATGTCCACTCAAGCAAGGGAGTCGCCGCTCGAGCGTGAAATGCTGGTTCCCAGCACTTTTGCAGACATAGATGTCTGCTCGAGCAAGGATATTCACACTTGAGCAGGGAGCCATGTAGTGTGACATTCAGCTCGAGCGTCCGAATTCACGCTCGAGCGTAGAAGTGAGGTAACCAGTATTTTTGCAGACCATGAGGGTCCGCTCGAGCGGCGAAACCCACGCTCGAGCGGGGACCTCTGTTTCAGAAAATTTGTAAAGGTGTTCTGTGTTTCATTTTTCGTTCTCTTTCACTTCTAAGTACTCTTAGGCATGCATTGAGTGTTATGAATGAATTAAAATATTAAGAAAGAAATCTAAGAGGGATGTATGAATTAAGAATGGATTGAATCAATTGTGACCCATATGTGTTATGTAATGTGTAGGGTCGAGCTCCAAAGCAAATCCACTGGCAAAACACTGTGAGTAATATCTTAGTAAAGATATTTGAAGTACGTTATTTGTCCAAATGCTTATTTCCATATTAGTCTTATAAGTTTGTTAAATTGAATTGTGGACAAATATTTGTTATGCCATATGGTTGGGCCAAAGGCCGTTGGATACAATCGACTGGACCAAAGGCTGTTTGACATGAATGATTGGGCCAAAGGCCATCGCACAACATTTGATATGAATCATTGGGCCAAAGGCCGTCGAACACCGTTTGACATAGACGATTGGGCCAAAGGCCGTTGGACATCAATGATTTAGGCTTGAGGCCGTCTGTTAAGGACGTAGTGGGCCAGAGGCCGTTTGATATGTTCGGGCTTGAATCGCTTAATGTACTAAATAATGCATGAAATAGAATACTAAATGGGCCCAAGGCCGTTTGATATATGTGAATCTCATTCGTGTACCTTCTTTATTTGATATTATTCACTGGGCTTTTGCTCACGCTCATTCATGTGTATGTAGGTGAGCCAGGGGATGTCCAAACCCAGCCTCAGTGAAATATGTGAGAAACAGTCAAGGTTTTGAAGAGTCAGCCCAAACGTCTCACGCACGAGACTTGTCTTTGCCTCTTTTGTTTTTTTGATATAGTTTTGTTATATCGGCGAAAACATTGGATTACTTTTGTGTATAAACTTTGGGTTTGACTGACTTAGACTTGAATGATCCTGTATGTATAGAATTTTGTGTTATTATCCCTTTGATGTGAGTTATTAACAGGTATATATATGGGCTGTTATGATGTGCCATGTAAGCACAACTCTATGGACAAAAGTTCTAAATTTGCTTCCGTTTGGCCCCTTTACTCTGATAAGATATGTCTTGTTTGGTTTGAGGTCGTAGGTAATCCCTTGATTACTGGCCGGTTATGTCGTTAACCCATAGGGGCGGGTTCGGGTCATGACACTCTCCCTCACCAAAATCACTTTTTGCTCAAAGATCTTTAGATCTACTCACTTAGGAGCATCTCCTTGCCTTGCTCCTTTGAGATTAAGTGTAGAGCTTGTCAAGAGCTTCATATTGATCCAAGTAGTTCGTGGTTTCGTTGCCAATGATTTTTGGGTTGTTTTCTCCTCTTCTCTCTTGAGGTAGGGATTTCTTTGATCTTTTTCAATATCTTTCTTATAAATAGACATGTGGTATATTTTATTGCATAAAAACCATGTTGTTATGGATCTTTTTGGAAAATCATATAGGGGGATCTAAGTGTTGATGTGTAAGGTTGAGATTTGGGAAATAGCTTGTTGTTAGTTAATTTGGGGGGAAATGGTTTAACATGTTATGGGTAGAGAGAAGTAAAGCCCTAATTGTTTTTGTAGTAATGCTTGGTAGGTGAAAATGGTTAAAATGGTGAGATAATCATGTTGTGAATTAAAGAATTTGATTAATGACTTGGTAATTTATTTGTGATTAAATTGGGTCTTATGATTTTTAACATTTACTTTGTGTTGGGTTGATTATAGTTGAATATAACGAAGTGATAATTTGTTAATTGTTAAAAAGGGGATTTAACCATGAGATTAGTAATTTTGGGTTGTACCCTTGTTGAGTTGAAATTGAGCGAGTTATGACCTTGTTGTCCAGGGGTTGAGTTTTTGGATGAAATGGAAGAAATGAGTCTCATTTATTTTAAATGCATGTATATATATATATATAATTGGTGTTTTGTGAATTGGAAATTTTGGAAATTAAGTTTGGAAATTGACTCTTTTACAATTAAGAAAGAAAACTTGGTATAAGTTGAAGACCTTGGAACACTATTGTTGTCGTTGGATTTAAAACCTCGTAAGAATGGAATGATTGTATTTCGTGTGTTAATGCACATTACTTAGAGGTTTTGTCCTTGTTCATCGGTGGAGGATGACATTGTGGATGTTGAAATGGTTATGTGTCGGTAGTACACTCGAATGGTCTATGAATGTTGTATAATGTGATGGTTGGAAAATGTGTAATGCGCTGAGATTCAATGGTACCATTACCTTCCAGCTTGCGCCTGGAGAATTGGTTGCACTAAGAATCAGAGGTATCATTACCTTCCAGCTAGCGCTTGGAGAATTGGCAGAGGTAGCATTCCCTTCCAGCTGGTGTATGGTAAATTGGCATTTCATTGTGGAAAGATGTATCATTGGCTTACTGTGCTAGAGGCAGGTAGAGCAGAATTCATTAATCATTATTGTCTCAGTGTATCTAGGTATATCATGGGTTATGATGGTTATTGTTCTGGAAGGCCGTATTGCCTCAATTGTTGAAGCAAATAGTTATTGATTGCGTGTTGTTTTCCTTTTGTATTAAAGGCATATTTGTATAGTTATGAACATGTTTTGAAAAAGCAAATTAAGTGTAAGTCTGGAAAGTGAGAGAAAACATAATGGGTAATCCATGTAGAATCTTGATGACAATTCATGCCCTTGATCATCATTTACATCATTTGAGTTGAAATGGAAAGTTAGATCCACATGCAAATATAATCCATAGAAGAATGAGTTTCGGTGCATGAATGTTGTTGTGTTGGA